GACACCATGCACTAAAACTCCTATGAATTAAACGAGCTTGAATAAATTATCAAGTCTGTATAATGCGCCTGGAAAATCGCATTTATTTTACATACTCAAAATACCAGAGAAAACGGAGAAGACGAGCTTCGACTAAAACAACAAGATTTGTTTTTCTTGGTATACATTTATTAATTAATTTTAATCAAAAAAAATTTGCTCAGACGTTTTTTTTTTAAATTCTCTTAAATATGAACACAACATGTCTCGGGACTTGGTAGTCCCTTTAAACACTTGTTTTTGCTTTTTTGTATATGGCAAATATTTTGTATATGGTAAATATTTATAAATATTAGTTTTCATCATGTCAGATAGCATTTGTTTTTTATTTTCTCTTTAGTTTGTTTTTGTTGAAATTGTTTATTGGCTTCTTTTTAAACTTTTAGAGACTTTCAACAATGAGTTAATGTTCAGTAGATTACTTTCAGTAATTCAATTTTAGTTGTCTTTATTTGTTCAATAAGTCGCTTTCAATCGTTTTTATTTGTTTGTTAAGTTTTTTTGCTTGCTTTCCTTATATTCTATTTTTTATTTTTAGTTAAACCACAATTTTTTTAAGTAAAATGTATTTATTTTTTTATTTTTAATACTGAACATTTTTTTATTTAGTGTTTCAACCACAACCTGATAAGAATTATTTGTTTCTAGGCTTTTTAATAGTCTCTTTTATAAAAAACCTATTTTATATTTGTTGTGCCATTGATAATAATTTGTTTTTCTTTTACTCAATTATTTATTTATTTGTAATCTGTTTTTATTTTTTAAGTAGAAACACAACAACAACCACAATCTGGTAAGAAAGAAACCTTTTGTTTCAATGTATTTAAATCTTTTTTTAAAAATTTAAATTTTTTTTTCTTAAAGGTTTTAAAATTTTGTGTTTTTCTTTTTTGATATTTAAGCTTTATTATAATTTTATTATTTTACAATTTTTGTAATAAAATGTATTAATATAAGTATATATTTTATTTTGTAGTGAACTTTCAACAAATGTTTTGTAAGTTTTGATTTTTCAATGTTTTTTAAAATTATTTATGATTTATTTGTTATTATCTTTATAATATAATTGGGTCGTTATTGATTGTGTCATAATTGGGTCATTATTGATTGTTTTATTATTGGATCATTATTGATTGTGTTATAATCAATAGCTCATGTTATTTTAGTGCAATCTATGCAAGAAATGTGTAAGATTTTAAATTGTGATTATTTATGATCATTAAATTTATTGATTATTAAATTTATTATTTATTATCGCAATACTCATGTTTTATTTAATTTCTAAAAATATTACTCTACATGGAACTATAATGCAGTAAAATTGTTTTTTCTCTTTAGCTAATAATTTTTTGAAGAAGATGGAGGAGCAATCCTGTATGAAAATATCTTTAACTTATATTTGCAAATACTTTATACTATTATAGCATGGTTCTTTCCAAATAATTATAGATTATACAGCATGGTTATACACATACATATGGTGGTGGTATACACACCACCATATTATATAAACATATAGTATTATATAAACATATGAAGGACTTAGTTTCTTTTATATTGTAAAGTTTCTTTTTGTATTGTGAAATCATAGATTTTTTGAATATATATAACTAGGGTATCATCATCATCATCATCATCATCATCATCATCATCATCATCATCATCATCATCATCATCATCATCATCATCATCATCATCATCATCATCATCATCATCATCATCATCATCATCATCATCATCATCATCACCATCACCATCACCATCATCACCATCACCACCATCATCATCATCATCATCATCATCATCATCATCATCATCATCATCATCATCATCATCATCATCATCATCATCATCATCATTATCATCATCATCCTCATCGTCATTGTCATCATCATTATCATCATCATCATCATCATCATCATCATCTTCATCATCATCAATTCAACAGCTGCCACAACTCTTTGTAAATAGACAGCTTTTTTTATATTATTATTAGGATACTTATTGTTAATTTTTTATTTAATTAATTACTTTTATTTAATGCTTTATCAGCAACAACAACATTAACAACAACAATAAAAATTCAACCTTCTGCAATAAATGCAACTGTTGCTGGTAAGTTAATTTTTAGTTTTACATTTCACTAGTATGAATACCGTGTTATTATTATGTAGCTGTGTAAAATGTGATGATTACTAATTTTTTTTTAATTTTTAATTTCCTTTTTATCTTTATAACTTATTTTTATGCTTATAGTTAACTTTTTATTATTTTTATTAAATTTTATATTTGTTTTTAATTTTAAATCAATTTTAATAATATCTTGATAGTAGACAGTTTACTGTCCTATAATTTATTTATATTTCTTATTTTTATTTGTGTGTTTCATATGTTTACATATGCACTATACACATACAATGTTTTACACTATATACTATGTCATACACTATACAATGTGAAAATTTAGGTATATGCGTAAGTTTAGGTTTTTTTGAAACCTAAACTTACAAAAGAATTCTTATGTGATAAAAATTTTCAATAATTTGTCTTTAAATATTTTTCTTAATCTATGTTTCACATGTTTTTATGCTTATTTTTAATAATATTAAATTAAATTTTATTAATTTTTTTACTCCTAACTTTTATATTGTTTAAAATTTTTTTTTAAAAGTAAATATTTTGTAATAAATTGATTTTTTTATTTTATTTATCTGTTTTATATGCTTAATATATGCTATATAAACCTATTAATCTCTTTATATTATTCTCTTTAGATTTTTATTATAAAAAAGTATTTAAGAGATTAAAGAATCAGCCACATGTGGTCTATATGATGTAAATATTTTTTGACAGACTCCTTAGCTCACCTTCACGTTGGTGTCTGTTGTTAAAAATGATAACAGATAGTTTCATTACTGAGGCTAATTACTTTTAATCATTCACTAAGAGCTAAGAAAAAATTTTTTAATAAATGCAATTTGATTATATATTAATTTTTTTGATTGTTATAAAAACCAACTTTATTTTTGGCTTCCAACATACAACAAAAAATCTCAGTAAAGTAAGTTTTATGAAGAACTAAGTTTAACATTAAATCAAATATATATTCACAACAAAAACGTTGTTATTCATATTTGTTTATAAAAAAACATTTAAAAAGATTTTGAACATGTTAGATATAATGTTTGAGATTTTTGATAAGTTAAATTTTTTCTCAATTTACTTATACATTGTAATTCTTAACTGGCTTAATAGTATTATAGCTATATAAGTAACATCAATAACGATAGTTAATATTTTGCTATGTCTTAAATCCCTCTCCCCTTAATATTTCAGCTTGCAAAAATTTGTCTTATTTATTGATCCATATTAAAAACATCTTTAAAGTCATTTTGTTAAGAGTTTATGTAATAGCTGTTACAAAATAAAATCGAGTTATCTTATTTGACATACTCATTATTGATAACCATTGTTACATTGCTTGTTACAATAGTTACCATTGTTATATTGCTTTTTTTGCTTTGTAAATTTGATATAATTTAATGAATGGTTAAAATTTTATTTTTTACTGAAGTCCTTTTCAAAAAAGGGGCTGAAGGAATTTTATTTTTTACTGAAATCCTTTTCAAAGGGGGCTGAAGAAATTTTATTTTTTACTGGAGTCCTTTTCAAAAAGGGGGCTGAAGGAATCCAAATCTAATAAAAAATGGGGTAAAAATATATTTAAGTTACATAAGTATTTTTTATAATAAATTTCAGTTTATAAATCCAAACTAATACCTTTTACAAAACATCATAACAATTTAATTATAACATGGCTTGCAGTCAAATGGGCATTTTTTAAAAGCTGTTTTATCACAATATCAATAAGATTTAAAATGCTGATATAAGTTTTAAATTTTAGTAAGAAATATAGCGCATTTTCGACAAATTCAGATTTACTAGGTAGACAAGTTTTAAAGCTGATTCTATGACGAAAGTTTTTGTTTTTATCAGTGACTGAAATAATTATTTTCTAATTTATATTTAAAATATTTTATAATTTAAAGGAAAAGCTGAATTCACTGTTTCTTTTTTGTTTGTTTTGAGACATGAATTTTTTGTTGACAACAAGTAAAAATTAATAAACGTGGGTGGGGTCTTAGTATGCTTGGGGTGGGTAGAAATATTTTCCGCACTAAATTTTGAAAAACGCTGCAAGAAATGTCACGCAATAGTTATTTATGTTAGAGTTAGTGTTTACGCATTTATATTAGAGTTGGTGTTAGCGCCATCTTGAACATTAAAAACTATCATTTAGGAGAATGTTTCATTCAATTGAAAATTTCCTTCTAAATAAACCAGATAATTGTTCTAATAAGCTGTAAGCATGCTGATAAAGTATCCTTCTATATCCTGTAGACCAGTAATTTACGGGTCATGACAGCTAGTATATATATAATAATGTATACATTGAACAAGAAAAAAGGTGGCAAAGTTGTAGATTTTCCACTCCTAAAAAACAGAACTGCTTCTTGTGCAGGTATGTATGTATGCTATTTGTCATGTATGGTGCACAGAAATTACATCAGGACTATGTTAAATCTTGCCAAATCTATGCCCAAACGAATTATTGCTGTGTTAAAAAACAAAGGGTATCCTACCAAATATTAATAGTACATCTGTTTAAAATGATTATACAATGTAATAAAAATAATTGAACTTCTTTTTGATGAAAATATGTTTTTGGAAGTATTATTGTTTTATGAAAAGTAATTATGATGTTGCAAGACTTTTTGCATTTGTGTAAAAATTGCAAACATTGATTTGTGTAAATTTGTGCCTTGTTGCAAGACATGTATGTATGTATGTATGTATGTATGTATGTATGTATGTATGTATGTATGTATGTATGTATGTATGTATGTATGTATGTATGTATGTATGTATGTATGTATTCTAATGTTTCCAAAATTTCTTACCTTTTTAGAGATTATTGCACTGATTAAGAAAGCCGAATGCCCACCTAGAATTGAATCAAAATTCAGCCTCAAAGTTCCACTAAAATTCACATCAGGCATATCAATGATATCTTGCTCTTTTATTTGTTTAGAATGTTCTTTTCCTTCTCTGATTTGAACATAAAAAGCACGAGCCAAAGAAAAAACTTTCATAGGAATAACAGAACTTAAAACACGCTCGTATCTTTAAAGAAAAAAAAAGAACCTAAAGTAATTTTTACTGTAATAATTTCACAATAATTAGTTTAATAATTAACATAAGCTAATTTTTTTTTTAATCAAAAAAAACTAAAATACTTTGAACAGGCTTCAAGCAACCGTTTATGTTGGGAGCCACTTTTATGTTTATGTTTGGAGCTACATTTATGTTTATGCTTCTTTTTAACTCATTTTCCACAAGAAAAGAGAAAATCAGACTTTTAACTAATTTATTTCAAACAAAGCTGCAAGCAACCACTATTTAAGTTAGGAGTTAACAGAAAATAAAAAAAATTGTTATAAAGAAAATGTTTGACAGAAGATTTAAATAACTGTAGATGGTAAAAGTCAGAAAAACATAAGATAGAATTCCAAAGAAACCAGAATCAAGTTAATGCGATAGTAGCGTATTGGTAAAGGGCTTTCTCTATAAGGGAGAAATTCAGAGTTAGATCTCCACCATGTCCCTAATAGTAATGCACTTGACTTGTATCTTTACACAGCAGCCTTGTTTTTCAAGGTTCATATTTCGGAGTTAAAGAGTTTAGAGAGGGTTGTAATTACAATAAGGTAACCTCCTCAACTGTAGTGGCCCTCTCAATTTTGGGAAAGTGAACAACATTACATTATAAAAAGCAGTGATTTGTAAAGAAAAAAACTAGATAAAAATAAGATTTTAGAGTATGATAGGACAGATTAAGTAAGGTTCAAACCTTCTAAAAGATTGAGTTTTGAATGATTGAGTTTTGGTTGATGGAACAAAAGATAATAGCTTTTTTGAGCAGCAACCATTACAGTATTTGTAGAAAAGAGAAAGAGATATAACATTACAACAATGGGACAGAGGGTCAAGCTTAGTAGCAGCAGTAGGTCTTATTACATTTAAAATACATTTTTAGATTTTGTCTAGAAGAGAAATACCATCATTAGAAGAACCAGCCCAAATATGACAATAGTATTCCATATAGGGTTAAATTCATCCAAATTTTATCCTCTACTTTAGAAGTTAAAAAAGGATAAAATTTTGAGTAAGGATATTATGAGCATGATAAAGAGAGGTAACTTGAGCAGGTGCAAATTTTGCAATGGTTTGTATATCATATCCACAAGAGGTCAGCTCGAATGATAATCTACAGTCTTGGAAAAAAGTTTAAAACTACTTGTAAAAAACTGAAAAATTAATGAAAAAATTATTACAGTACAAAAAAATTGGTTCAAAAATAAAAAATAAATGTTTTAAAATAATGTCCACAGCAGCTAAAATCAAAAGTAGCATCAAGTTATAGCACCAAAACATTAAAAAAGTACAAAACAATATCAAAACACTAGTATTTTGTTGAACCGCCCTTGTTCGCAACGACAGCTGCCAAATGTTTCTTCATTAGTAGCATAATTCCTGCACACTTCAGGGGTTATTTCTGTCACCCACACTTTTTTAATAACTTCATTTAAGTCAGTAAGGCTTCCAGGCTGCTTTTCTGATACTCGAATTTTCATCATGTTCCAAAAATTCTCTATCGGGTTAAGGTCAGATGAATTGCCGGGCCTATCTAACACGTCAATACGACTCTCCTGAAACCATTTCTTACATACCTTAGCTGTATGGCATGTTGCAGAGTCCTGCATAAAGTGAGTGCATTGCAAAAAGCTGGGTAGTTTTGATTTTAAGATGTGCAAATATCTGGCAGCATTCATGCATTCTCCCTTTCCTAAAAACTCTATCGCACTGCGACTATTTCCACTGAAACAACTCTAAATCTTAACAGACAGTGGATGTCTCATTGTTTTCAAAGTATATTTGTCATCTTTTTTGGCTTGGTCTTCTAACATGTTTTGCAGTTATTCCAAACTGTTCTAAGGTAGACTCATCTGACCAGAAAACCTTCATCCAATTTTCCTCTGTCCAATCTCCATATTTCAGAGCAAACTTTAATCTTTTTTCTTTCATTTCTGGTGTCAATCTTGGCTTCTTTGCTGGACGATAGGACTTAAGGCCACATTCTATCAACCTATTTCTTATAGTTCTGGAGGAAACATTTACATTGCTGACATCGATGAGCATTTTCCGAACAGTCGCTGAACTAATAAATGGATTGTTCGTAACTATTCTGCAAATGCTTCGATTTTCTCTTGGGGTGGTCTTCTTTGACCGCCCTGTTCTCTGCTTGTCAGCGAATGATTTCGTTTCATTGAAACGTTTTATTGCACTGTTTACAGCAGTTTTAGAAGTCTTTAACAATGCTGCAATCTCACTTTTGCTTCGCCCAGCTCAACTGTACGCGACAATCTGTGCCCGATTTGTTGGTTTGCTTATTTTGTTTGAAATCCTTTGTTTTGCCCATTTCTTATGCAATCTTAAAAACAAGAACAAGATGCGTTTTTAAACAGAATTAATACAAAAGAAGGAAAAAATAGACAAATTTTAATTTATAATACATACTTTTTTCATTATTATTAGGCTCTTTAACATTACGCACACAAGCTCGTGGTTTACAATAAAATACTGTAAATATAAAAAAATTTATTTAAAGTTGTTTATATAATTCAATTCTTTTGCTTAATCAAATATGCTTTAATTCATTATGTTGCTAAGGGCAACAAACAGCTCAGCAAAAGAGACGAATAATTGTGCAATTTAAAAAATATAAGCAGTTTTCTAATACAAAATTACTTTAAAATAGCATTAAATATTACACAAAAATTTCGTCTTCTTACTTAGATAAAAATGGTTTCCACGAAATTGTACACCTATTAGTTACAGAAATTGATCAGCGATAATTGGGAAATTGTGTTAACTAGCTATGGTTGCCAAATAAAAACTTATACACGCTCAATTTTATTTTAGCCATCAAAGTATAGCATTTATACATGGTGGTCTTAAACTTTTTCCCAAGACTGTAAGAAGACATAAAGTAGAGAATTCAGTAAGAGTATTTAAATTCACAAGCAATTGCAAGTCCTAAACTGTTAAAAAAGTGAGATCAGATTTAAGATTGGCTTCCTGTTCTAAGCAACCAAAAAATGATAATTTTCAGGAAGATCATTAATATAGATAAAATCAATACAGGACCAAGGATAGAGCTTCATGTTACCTTAGAAGTTATTGGAAATTAAGAAGAGGCCTTCAAGGATAACTTTAACACTGCAGTTAAAAAAAAGGAATTTAAAAAAAAAATCTTAAAAACATTACTAGATACATCATATGAAGCAAGGTTATGAAGAAGCTTGAATTTATTGAAAGTCTTTGGTATGTTAAGAGTAACAACCCTTGCCTCGCTAACTCCATCTAAGGCACAATAAAAACTTTCATATATAACAGTTAACAAGTCATCTGTAGAATGAAAAGATAAAAACCTGTAAAAATTTTATCAGGCAGTAAATTGTTTGACTTAAGATGAGATATTAGCTTGTAGTTAAAGCCTCAAAAACCTTGTTAATAATGGAGAATTGGTAAAAGAGAAACTGATTGGGTGATAATAACAAGAGTCAGAGTTTGAAACCTCTAACTATTGCCCATGGACTGCCATGAAGGAAATCACAAAAGAAGTTTTAAAAGTCAGCTTTAGGGTAGTAGTAATCAATGATTTGGGTAATCTGGTGAAGCAAGGTTTTAGGGAAATCATAGCATGATGCAAAGCAAAGTTAACATAAGACATAAAACAAAACTGTATGAGCCAGGAAAAAATGAAGACAACACATTCCAAAGCATTAATTTTGAAGGAAAAAAAACTAAAAGTCTAATATATAAAATTAATATACAAATAAAAATAAAATGTTCAAATTAAAAGATTGCAAATCACACAGTATTGTGTTTTGGTTAATAAAACAAGAGAAAGTAGCTTGCCTAAAGAGTAACTATAACAGTTTTGGTAGACTTTCTATATATTTTATAATTATATATTATTATTAATTATAATATAATTATTATATGTTTATATAAAATTATATAATTATGATATAGTTATAATATTAAAAATTTGTAAATAATAGTTATAATTATAAATTATAAATAAATCATTTATCATATATTATTATACCATGTCCTTTTTTTTCTCCTGTATCTTAAAGGTGTTATGTAAAAAATCAACAACAACAAAAAAGTATAACAACCAGTATTTATTGATGTTTTAAGATTATAAATATTAAAGAAAATAGTAATTTAATTTAAAAAAAAAAAAATTTAAAATTACATATTAGAAAATGAAAACTTTGTAGAACATATTGGTAATGTTTGGATCTTTTGCATGTTAGGAATTCGTATTTTCGTCACAAGTCTGTTATTTTTATAAAAGTCAACAGCTTCTTTTAACTCTAAGACAGGGTAGGCGTTAAACATCTACAAATACAATTTTTAAAAAATTGTTAAATAAATTTAAAAAATGAAGTTATTGAAACAAGTATGATAAGTACTACCTTTAAAAAAGCATTGACAAACATACCAAAAATGAATCTGTTGGAACATAATGTGAAGATTTGTGTGCAGTAAGTGCATTATGAATAAGATCTCGTAGCATAACAACACGCACCGATCTTTCATTTCTTTTACACTTGTTTGAAAGAATACTATTTTCCTGTATAAGAAAAAAAGAAAAAATAGAGATTTATAAATAAAAATATGATTTAAAAACAAAAGAACCACTGTTTAAGTCCATTTAAGATGCGACCACTGTTTAAGATGCGACTACTGTTTAAGATGGAACCACTATTTAAGATATGTAATTAGTTAACCTGTAAATAATGGTCTTAAGACCACTATTTACAGAGTTGTTAATAAATTATATAGCGATTTATTAATAATTATATATCAGCTTATTAATAATATATCAGTTTATTTATATATTTAATTATATAGCAGTTTTATAAAAATTATATAGAGGGTTGTTTACATTTATATATAATTCATAAAATATCTTTCTTAGTTAAAATAAAAAATACATCCAGTAAAATAAATATAAAAAGTGTTGCTAAATGTTAAACTTTTATTTAAATTTTTATTCTATAAAAACAAGACCAAGATAATGCTTCATATGTTAATAAAACGTCATAAAATCAACATTCTCATTCATATCTGCTATTACCGTATTAATGTGAGTAATAATATCTTCTTTAATTTCTGGATATAGACCTAATTTGTAATATCTGTTCTTTAAACACGAAAATACTTCTTCTATAGGATTTAACAGGGGAGAACATGATGGCAGATATCTGTATCTAATATTCTTATCCTTGAAAGCATATATTGGTTGCATATATTGGCATCCATCTATGAATCAAGACGATTTTACTAAAAATTATTTAACTCGACTATTAGATAAGTTAAATATTGGGAAAAAAAGTATTATTCTTTTGGGGGATTTTAATATGAATATACTAAAATATAATGAATCAAATCTTATATCTAGCTACCTTGACTCACTTATTTCTTTTTCATTACATCTTGTTATAATTCTACTAACGCATAACAGCTAAATCATAAACACTTATTGATAAAATTTTTATAAAATTCAATTCACCAGACCAAATCTCTGGCAATCTTACTATTTCAATATCTGATCATATGGCTCAATTTATCTGCATTCCTAGAAAAACTAACCACCCTAAAAAAAGTATATATTAAAGGCGATGCTTCAAGACCTTTAAAAAAATATATTTATTGAAGATGTTTCCAACATTAACTGGTATTTTTATATTAAAAAAGATACTGATGTAAATCAATCATTTGAAAACCTATTAGATCAGCATGCTCCATACAAAAAACTAAGCAGCAAATTAAACTTAAATCAAAACCAATGGCATACTTAAAATCACCAATGGCATACAATCTATTTCCATTAAAAACAGACTATATATTAGTACTAAAAATAAACTGTTTTCTAAATTTGAATTTTATAGAAACAGAATCAGCAATCTACTAAAAATTAGTAAAAAAGCCTATTACACAACCTATTTTAGTAAAAACTTAAACAATATTAAGAATTCTTGGAAATGGATAAAATAAATCATTAACATAAAACATTCCTCCTATAGTTCAACTCTCAAACTTAAAGTGAAAGAAAATATTATCACAGATCAAACTACTGTATCGAATATGTTAAACAACTTTTTTGTTACTATCCAAAACAAATTTCAAAACAAAATCATACCTTCAACATCCAAATTTACTGACTATATCAACTCTCCAAACTCTAAGGCATTCTTTATTGATCCTGTCACAGAGAATGAAATCTCCGATCTTATTAAAACCACCCTTATAACTGGAAAAAGCTTTGGTCCTAATAGCCTTCCTACATTCCTTCTTAAACTTTTTAAACTTATTCCAGACATAATTTCTAAACTGCTCAGTATTATTATAAACAACTCAATTCAAAACAGTTTATTCCCAGATGCTTTTAATGTTGCTAAAATCATTTGGATATTTAAAAAAGGTTCTACAATGGATATGTGTAACTACAGTCCTATCTTTCTTCATTCAAACCTAAGCAAACTCTTTGAAAAAGCTATGCATAAGAGGCTCTATGCATTTTTGAGTAAATTTAAATGCCTTTACGAACACCAGTTTAGGTTTCGTGCTAATTATTCCACAACTCACTCACTTATTAAAATTACTGAATCTATTAGAAAAGCTCTTGACGATAAAAACTTTGCATGTGGTGTCATGTGGTGTCTTTGTAGATCTACAAAAAACTTATGATACAGTAGATCTAAATTTCAAAAATAATGTTCATTTCAGAAAAAACGATACGTACTTAAACGATACTTTTTTTTTTTAAAGAAATCGGCGATTTGACATGATTTTTAAAAACTTTTTTTTTGAAAATATTAGGGACCCATTAAATATTCGAGGGTCTTGAGAGACCCTTTAAATTATTTTTTATTGAAAAAAAAATTAAATTTAGTGTTTTTGTATTAGATAGAACACATTTAGGGGGTGAGAGCAAATTATTTTTAAAAAAGTTGTTTTTTGGGACACCCTAATGTGTATGTGTATATATATATGTGTGTGTGTGTGTGTGTATATATGTGTGTATGCGAATATATGTGTAGGTGTGTATAATATATACATATATAATACACATGTATAATATTATTAAATGTGTGTATATGTATTTATGTTTGTATATGTGTATATATGTATGTGTTTATGTATGTGTGTGTATGTATATGTACGTGTGTGTATATACGTATATTTGTGTATAGTATAAACACATACATCTACATATACGGGTGTATATTATGTTTGTATACAATTATAGTATACATACTTTTATTAAATACAGGGGATATAGGTATGTGAATTTATATGTATTTGTGAATGTAAGTGTGCATGTGTGTTTGTATATGTATATTTGTATGTGTCTGTATATGTGTGTATGTGTGTGACTAATACTAAATTACTATTATTTTTTTTATGATTATTGTCATTATTTTTATTTCTGTCATTTTATTTTTATTACTATCATTTTACTTTTATCATTGTATTGTTATTATTGTTACAGCTACAACTTTTATTATTATCATTATTAGCATTTTTACTCCTTTAACTTTTAATGTTCGTTTTGTTACTGCTGTGGATGATTAATATTAGTATTAGCATAAACAATATACTTATTAGCTTTTATTTGCAAGGTTTTTAATTAAGATTAGTACATGTACTATTTGTAAACTTCCATGAATGTGACAACTATTTCAGAATATATGAATTGATTGATTGATTGAAAAGTTGAACAATCAATAATAATAATTTTTCAAACCTTGCTTTATAGCATGGTTTAAGAAATTCTAAGAAAATTTTAGTGTTGAAAGATCCTTCAATAATTGAATGATTTTAAAATGATATTAATGGAAGTAGATTGATAATGCAACTTTTGTTTGCAGGAACAGTTATAAATGCAGGAGTGTTTTCAGGAGAATATCTGAAATTTGGTCTTGAATATAAATTGAACCCGGTTTCATCCAAAAATAACATTTGAGAATAGTCAATATTTTTAAATCGAATAGAATAAATTTTTCTCTCACTAATTATTCTTGGTGAACAGGTGACATCAGAGACTTTCTTAATCTTTTGCTTGTAATTTCAAGCTACTTAAGGTAATAAGATATAGATGGTTGGGATATGGTTATTCTATTTTCTTGAATACATCCAGATAACAACATCATAGCACAAGAATTGGGGCGTTGCTTGGGGCCACTTTTCTGTAGTAGGTTATGACAATCACTAAGATTATTCCTAGTTCATATTATAGCCTGCCATTTTTTAACGGTTGATATTTCCAAATCAGTAGCATTGGCAATTTGAGCTATAATTTCCCCCTCTGTCTGATCTTATTTTTATTTGTTTAATTAATGTAGATGAAATTGGTACTCTTTTTTTCCTTCTTATATTTCTGACAGGTTCACTTTTATTAAAATTATTTTCCATCGAGCTAAAATAACCAAAAATATATTTAAAATAATAATGATTTTCTGATGGAATAACATGGTATTAATGGATGAATATATCATTTACTTATAAAAAATTAAAGTATATACAAGCGCTATAAAATTATTAATAAATTGATATAATTGTTAATAAACTGATATATAATTATTATTAAACTGATAAATAATTATTAATAATATATAATTATTAATATCCTTGTAAGATACAATCATTATTTAAGATGTGACCATTATTTAAGATGAAACCACTATTTAAGATATAACAAAAGGCCATGTTCTAGCCCAGGCCTTGACTTTTGGCCTTGAACAACTTTGATTACATGCTAAACAGTTCAGCATTTCTTGATAGTAAAATCAATTATAACGTTTTACAGTTGTTAATCACTTACATTTTTTATGCTATATTATGAAACAATATCAAATAAAAATATATTAAATTAAAAAATTTAATAAACTGAACTATATTTTTTTAAATAAAAATACAAGTACACAAAGTAAAGAAGAAGAAAATACCTCTTGATCATCATTAAATTTATGAGCATACACCAACTTATAGTTCTCCTGCAATTCTTTCATTGTGCTTGGAAATTGATTAGTATCTAACTGAGGGTTAAAATGCTGGCTGTATGTTTTTCTCAAAGTAATAAATGCATCTTCCATTTTTTCTTTCCAGTTAGCAGAAGTACATTCCAGGTTTGCCATAAATTCCTATATAATATATATACATATATATATATATATATATATATATATATATATATATATATATATATATATATATATATATATATATATATATATATATATACACACGCACACATAGTGTCTCGAAAAATTATCCCACCAAACATTTTTTGTCAAAAAATAAATGTTTACCCTCTAAATTATACTAAAAACAATGAATAATGGTAATTACTTTGTCCGTGATTTTATTTCTATTGGGAATAGGATGTTATTTAGCAATTCCTTTTTTTGATTCATGCTTCAGTTGGTTTATTTTTTGCCTTAAAAGTAACTTAGAGTTGAATAGGCTTGTAAAAAAAATATTTGACTAAGCAATATTAGGTAAGTTATTGTCAATTTTATGTGAAATTTATTGAAACTTTGACAATTAATGAACATAACAAAAAAACTCGAATTATGTTTTTTTAGTAAAATGGCTGGAGGTAAACGTCACTGGATTATAGTAAGAATGAAGAAGCATAATTTGATCAGAAAATCACCCAACAATTGACAGGCAGGGTCGCAAAAAGAAGACTTCTAAGAGTTTTGATAAAAACTTAATCATAGAAGTCAAGTAAAAATTGCTTCATTTCTGCTCAAGAAACAGGCTGAGAAAGCTGAAGAGGAATCAAAATTATCTCATCAGACAATCAGAAATTGTATCTGAGAGAAGATCAGAGTTTGTTAAGAAATATACATTATATATATATATATTGTTTATAATTATATATATATATATATATATATATATATATATATATATATATATATATATATATATATATAACATATATATATATACATATATATATATATATATATATATATATATATATATATATATATATATATATCTATATATATATATATATATATATATATATATATATATATATATATATATATATATATATATATATATAGATATATATATATATATATATATATATATATATATATATATATATATATATATAGATATATATATATACATTTCCTTTCACAGGAAGACGTGCGATTGCACGCAATTATATGACCAGGCATAAAGTAATTTATTTTAACAACTTGACCATGGCTTTTGAAATATTTTCAAAATTTAAAAATGCTCTACAAAAACTTTCTTAAACTTATTTAAATAAAAAAAAACTTTAAAAAAGAAAAAAAATCTTAACAAAAGAGTAAAAAAAAATACTTAACTAAAGCAAAAACACAAACATTTATCATAAAAAATACCTAAATATATAAGTAAAAAAAAACAACAGTTTTTAATACTTTTTAAAATAATAAAAATTCATTAGAAGTGTTTTGTTACTTCATTAAAAAGCGTTTCGATAATATAAAAGCATTTAAGATCAAACTTATTTGATTGAAACGGCTTTCTAAAACATATTCTTTTTTTTTTCAACAAAATTTTGTTTATCTTTCAAATGTATTAACTTTAATTATTTAAAAATGTATTAACTTTGATTATTCTAATATTAAAATTCGTTAAACAGACTTTCGTTGTTGTAGAATGTCATTGTTTATAAAAACAAAACAATTTTTTATTTTTTAAATACTATCTTGCAAAAGATATAATTCGACTCTTTAACCATTGAGGATAAAAAAAATTAATTATTTTTTATTATTTTATCAAATATGAAAACTTTATTCGTGCTAAAGTTTATAACCCACAGTTTGAAAAAACTCATTCAAATGAGTTTTACGTATTAAGAAAATTTCTTGTTTATCACATTTTGTGAGCTATAAATTGTGTAAATCAGTTTGGTTATCGCCTTTTGATTAAAGTTTGCTTATATTTTCATGTCTGTAATTGTAAACTACATAAAGCATAACCAAATATATACATATATATTTAGGTTATATGTATGTGTGTACTCTAGGGTGGAAGCTTATAAGGTGCGCAAACCCTTATTTAATAAATAAGATTTTTTTTTTTTAACTTAAAAAAAAGATTTAGGATGGCACACGGCCCCAAAGTACTTTTTTTACCCTTTTTTGACCCCGTGTGTGCCATCCTTAAACAATATTGAGTTCAATTTTTTTTTTCTTTATAAACTTTCATAATGACTAATATAAAAATAAAATTAAGCACTCTAACTGTATTTTTTTTTCTCAACGCTGCAAAACTTACACAAAAAAGTCAAAAAAAAATGATTTTCTTTTTTTTATAATTTGCGGCAACGTTTTTTGGTGATTGAGATAGATAACTTGCAGACATGGAGCAAACTTCAAACTTGGGTATGTTTATACTTATATCAAATTAGTTAAAAACTAATTTGATATAAGTATAAACATACCCAAGTTAAAAACTATACATTGTCTTAACTTTCGAACGCTATAATATTATTAAATGAAATTTGAAATCTGTCGATGACTATAAGTTTAGCTTGAAATAACAATTCTATAAAACTTGGCAACTGATTGCCCTCACATTTGGTGCTGGTGGCACAAGTTTTGGTAGTTCCCAGGCTCTACTCACTGCGATTTTTTACAAAGTATTCTCATTTAATGTAAGTATAAGCATACCCAAAATTAAAGATTGCTCCATGTCTGAAAGTTATCTTTCCTAATCATCAAAAAAACTGCCATGACCCCTGTATTTCTATGGTATTTTTCATTACAAAATCTAGCCAGTTAAATGGAATTATAAATAAGCTATTATAATATATCATATTATTTTCGATGTTGAACTTAGAGATAAATCTAGAGGTAGGTGGATTAGCCCTCCCCTTTTGATATACTTTTTTTTGAGCTGAGAGGAGGAGGGGGAAGAAATAAAAATAAAATCAACCTCATATTAAACTTTTAATTATTACACTCAACATTTCAAATATTTTTTGTTAGATTCTATGTAGGCCTTATTTTTTACTAGATTCTATGCAGCCTCAGGAGACGCGTACAGTTGCACGCCTTGAATGACCACGCATATATATTTTTTTTATTGATAACATGGCCACAATTTTTTTTTGCATTTACTAAAAATGACGCACCTTAAAAACGCGCTGAAAAGACAAAATTAATTGCTCATCTTTTTTTAATTATTATTAATAATTCATTATTATAGTTATTAATGAGAAAATAGAAACATTAAAATAACATATATAGGCATTTCCATTTTTAACTTACGTTACACACGCAATAACTTTACCAAATATTAGCTTATTTAAACTTTTAGCAATCTTGTATGAAAGCTGTTAGTCTAATAAATAAAATAAGCTTAAAAGTTTTGTGTTCGGCCGAAAGAAAGCAAACTTATTACTAAAAATGCCACTTGCACTGATGTTAGACGGAAAACAAGGTAAAAAAACAAATTCAACTTATAGGTCTCATTTCTGCGAATCAGTAAATCAGTTTGTATTAGACTTTTACAAAATGCAGATAATTCTATACCAATTTAAAATTTTTATAAAAACTTTTTTAAAATAAACTTGACTAACTAGTCAAAAAGGGTCACATTTGCCGACTAAGGGTCAAATTTGCTGACTAAAAATCATTGATGGGGGGGGGGGGGGGTTACATACCCCTCCCCCCCCACACACACACACACCCCTATCGCGCCGGCTTTGCTGCTAAGTTAAATTTTTAAATATTTAAATCTTTTCTAAACAACTATATGTCCACCAAAATAATAGTACATAAACAAACAAAAAAAAAAACAATAAAATAAATAATTTTAATACATATAAAATTTTTTTTTTTTTAATTCTCCTTATATAAAAAGTTTCAGTTAAAACCTTGTCAAGCCAGCAGGAAGAAATAATAATTACTTAATGATTTAATTCATTTAGTAAATAAAAACTTAACGAAAAATCGCCAGAATTTTATTAAATGCATGAAAACAAATAAAAATATATATATTTATATATTATTTTTATCTTTTTATTTTATCATTAATTACAAATATATATATGTGCATTATTGTTAGGTTTTAATTTTCTCGTAAATAATTGTAATAATAAATTATTATTAATAAAAAAAACCCAATAAGATGACTAATTAGTTTGATTTTTTCAGCGCGTTTTTAAAATGCATCATTTTTAGTAAATGCAAAAAAAAATCGTGGCCATGTTATCAACAAAAAAATATATATGCGTGGTCATTCAAGGCGTGTGACCGCACGCGTCTCCTGAGAAGGCCTACTATGCTAAATCTTTTTTCATTGCCCCTTGTTTACTTCTTTTGTAAAAATAGTTAAGCAAGAAAAAATTCTGTCTCTTTTTTTCTTTGTTTGATTTTCCAATCAGTTCTTTAACTAGATTAATGGCCCTCTCGGACAAGTCATTGACCACATCATAGGATTTAATAGTAGATTCAAACTCAAGATAAAAATTTTTGAACTTCCAGAACTGTGAAGGGAACTTAAGCCACTGCAAATCACTCTCTCTGTGTCTAATCTTATCAAAGATGAGCCAAGATTGCTAAATACTAGAGAACAAAAAGATGAGGCTGATCTTGTGTAATGTCTAGAAAGTGAAAAAGTTCTTTATTGACCATAACACGTTTAAGCGGAGACATGCTTGGTTCAGCGAGAAGTGTAATGCTCAATGTTTTGGCATTATCTCCCCTGTTTCGGCAACATTCATTTGCTAAATTACAACTAAGGCAGGATCAAGAAACCAGCTGTGTCTGTCACATGATTTTAATACTGAATTAGCTCTAAGAAGATTTATATCCATGAACCTCATCATCTGCAACAGAGCTTTCATATCCTACGCAATATTTTAACAATATTAGATTGTCACCAATCAAACAATTAACTAATTATTTTTTACGTTGTTTTCTTATTTATAATTATTATTTTCAACCTGATATGGGACAGCAGTTGGCAATACTGCTCTAAGAAGCCACTGAGTGTAAAAGATGCTGACAAACATAGCGATATCACGAATCTTTTCTATATTTTCCTCTGATAAATTTGGAATGGTTTCCAGTAGTAAATAAATTTTAAGGTAATACAATGCTTTGACCAAACGTTTAATTACTTTTGTAATTAAAGTTTGGTCAAAATAAAATTGTATTAAAATTAAGTTTAATACAATGACCAAACGTTTTACTACTTGGATATATCATATTGAAGTGGGTAATATGTCTTTCCAAAATATGGCATCTACAGACAAGGAGAGGTAGTGGCTGCCCCAGCTATTCTCATTATAACTTCTTGGCTTTCCAATGAAGAAATCAGTAGTATCAAAGCTTTGTTTGGTGATTGAGAAAATCTCAGTGATTGGAGCCTGGGAATAACCAAAACCCCAAAATTTGTGCGGCCAGCTCTGAATGTTTTAGCTTTCGAAATTTAAGACAATGTAAAGATTTTGACCCCCTCATTTTATGGAGGGTGGAAACTTTAAATAGTTATAATTGTTGAATGCTAAAGTATTATTAGATGAAATTTAAAATCTGTTAATGAATATAAATTTAGTTTAGAATAACAATAGTATAAATCTTGGTAAGTTATTGCTCTCATATTTGAGACTATGGGGGGGGGGGGGGGGGGGACACAAGTTTTGGGATTTTTGTAGTTCCCAGGCTCCAATCACTCCAATTTTTTTTGAAACATCCTAATTTGATATAAGTATAAACATACCCAAGTTTGAAGTTTGCTTCATGTCTGCAAGTTATTTATTTCAATCACCAAAAAACATTGCCGCAATCCATGAAATAAAGAAAATCTTTTTTTTTTTGGTCTTTTTTTTGACTTTTTTATATAAGTTTTGCAGCATTGAGAAAAAAAAAAAAAGTTAGAGTGCTTAATTTTATTTTTATATTAGTCATTGTGAGGTTTTATAAAGAAAAAAAAAATTGAACTCAATATTGTTTAAGGGTGGCACACACGGGGTCGAAAAACGTCAAAAAGGGGTTTTAAAAAAAAGTACTTTGGGGCCGTGTGCCACCCTTAAACCTTTTTTTTTATAAATCTTAAATATAAAACAAGGGTTTACACACCTTATAAGCTTCCAACTAGTCTAAAAAATTTTAATACCTAATTCTGAACCACCCTAATGTACTCACATGTTGTCTTCAATAATAACCAATGTACACAATAAAAAAACAAAACAACCTACAGCATCTTAATGCAAGATTTATAATGGAAACACATAGCTTTAAACATCATTACAAAATTTCAAAATGTGACATTTTAACAAAATGCATGAACATGGTTTCCTAAAGAACCAATTACTGCAAAGTTGAGACAAATTTGAATTTAAGTAGACAAATTATGTTTACTTAAATTCAATTTTGGAATATTTAAAAATATTAGAAATTTAAAAAAATGTTACTTAGTAGTCATACTTTATTTTGTTCTAGCTCTCCTTTACATGTTTTGTATACAATTAACATATTTTTGTAATACTTTTTCATGTATCGTGCTCGTCTGTTCAAAGAATTCCATGTTTTATCTCGAGACTCCGGTACATTTTTGTGTATTATGTCACGAAATGCTCTCCACATAATTTTTATATGTTCTTTATACAGTGGGCGATCTAATGAGGAAGAAGATAATTAAAATTAATAAAAAGAACTAAAAAAAACAATTAACATCTTACTGGATAAATATAATATAGTAACAAAGACCTTTATCTTGTAGCCTCATAAGGTCTTTTATAATTTCAGTCATAAGGATATGTGCATCCTCTCTCTCAGTAAAAGTGACCCGCTTTCCTGTCATCTGTTTTAGAGCAGCACGATCAACATCATCTAAAAAATTTGTATATTATTAAATTATTGCTATTACTTATATTTAAGATCATGTATACTTAAAGTCATGTATCCCATATTTAAGATCATGTATACTTAAAGTCATGTATACTATATTTAAGATCATGTTTCCTTAGGTCATGATCATTTTATTATTATGAGCAGCTAAAAATACCAATAAATTTTTTTTTTTTTGTTGGTTTGTTTTTTTGTTGGTTTGTTTGTTGTTGTTGTTTTTTTTTTTGTTGGTAGAACTTGGTTCTAATTTTCTTAATTAACCTTTTACTAACTCAAAGTAGCTAATGTTAGAAGTTTATTTTAGGTTAAAATTACTGACCCAATTTCTTTTTAACTTGGTTCCATTTTTTTCACATTAAATTCCCATTCTTATTTATACTATTTTGTTTTTACTATAATTATTTATTAAATTATTTTCAATTATTATATTATTACTTATTTAAGCTATAATTTTTTAAAATGGTAGTTTAAATTCTTCAACTTAAATAATATCATGACTTAAATAACAAATAACTTAAATTCAATATATTATTTAAACTTCTATTTGGAAAAATATATTCAATTGAATGTTACCATGGCTTCTTGCTTCTAAAATACGCTTTCCTATTCTTTGTCTGCGCAATGCCTTTTTTGTAACTTCTCTTGCACGTATAATTTCTTTCATCTTTTCGTAGCGTTTTGACATTAAAAGATCATACTGCAATTGTCTTTCAATTTTCTCTTTCTTTGAAAGTTGAGGAGCTAAAATAAAATAAAAAAATTAAAACAGTCATATAAATGTAGCATAAGGAATGAAATGTTAAAATATTGATACCAGCAACAGATAGTTTTCGTTTAAGTCCCTTGCCCCCTTTTTTAAGTTTAATGATACTGTTGGACACAAAAATCTTTTTTGACTGCAGTGGAGCCAAAGACTCTTTTTTGCTGTCATATTTAAAACGGTGGTCATCTGTAAATCTAAAAAATAAAATGATTACATTTCAAACACACTGAAAAGTAAAATGTAAAAAAAAAACTTAAATTTAAATTTGAATACCTTCTTGTCTTTGTTTGAACTTTACCATGAGCCCAATTTTTTGGCAAATGACCAAAAAAAATTGAGTCCAAACCCCCAGCTCCTAATGAATTACCAAAAAGAACAGGCTCCATGTTGCTAAAATCCTTGTTGACATAATGTTCTTGAAAATCTCGCAATACAGTGTATGAACGATAAATTCGATGTTGCCCTTTCTTTTTATGTTCATCTCCTTCTTCTATTGTATTTTTTTCGCTCACAAACTTTTTTCTCAATTGCCTTGTAACTCCTAACAAAAAAGTTAAAAAATATTTCATTAAATTTTTAAAAAAATTAAAAATACAAAGAAGAAAAATGAAACCATTTGATGAAACCAAATGAAACTAAGAAAAATGAAACCATGAAACAAGTATAATTAGTTATAAGTAATTTCATCATTTTAACTATATTAAAACAAAAGATTTGTCAAAACCCTAATTTTAGGAAATTTTTAGTAAATTAGGAAATTAAAGAAAAACTTGTCTTCAGAAATCATCTAAAAAACAAAACAAAATAAAATTTTAGTATTTAGAGTAGTAGTTAAGCTAAACTAAATTTTAATTGGAAAAATGACAATGTACTCAGGGTTGAATGATGCCAGTTTCTCATTTAAATAAAAAAAGTTGCATATTTACAATATGGTATATCTGTTTATTATGCATTATTATTATACCAAATGAACATTTATATTTTGACTTTACTTAAAACAAAATATAACCTTGTTAGCCAGGAACAAGATTATTTCTTTGCTCCTTTGCTCTCTTTGTTTATTATCTAGAGTGACAATCTTCCTGACAATCTTACAACTGTATTTGCTGATGATCAACTTTATACTCTTACCTTGACAAAAAGTCTTTACTTTTTGATCGCTTAAAACAAACAGCTGAACTTTAGATCTATTTTCTGTAATAGCTGCAATGGCTTGTGGATATTAACTCCAAAAAACTCAGTTATTTACTGCAAACAACTATTACATATTGTTGACATTTGATTTCTTAGACAAGATTTAAAAACTCATTGTAAATGTTTTTCTACCAATACTATCATGGTCACAGTAAAAACATAAATGAGCTATTATCTCTAATTCAATAAACTAAAACTCATTCTTGCTTGTGATTCAGAAGTCCTTTTACTGTATCTGTTCTTTTATGTTATTGTATCTGTTCTTTTATGTTTTAAACTTTCACCAATCTTCATTTTTTCTTGACTCATACAACCTAAAACTTTCAAAGTTTTAAGTTAACTGCTTCTTTGCTCTTTAATCCTTTATTTTTCTAGCAAATCATAACTTAATAATTAGCAACTTTAATAAATTCACTTGTAATTAAACTCTGACACCAGAAGTTAATATTGTATCAATGCCACAATAAATGTTAAACTTGACAGACTACTTAGTTAACTCCCCATGCAATCTTGATATTTTTACTTTAACGAACTGTGCAACATGCAGTAATTACTACTTTAAAGTAAAACAGGTCTTCGTAAAATAAAAAAACCTAAATATTTGAGAAAAAATTTACTATAAATATTATAAAGACACTTCTAAGTACTTGTATGACTTCTGTAAATTAAAAAAAAACTGTTAAACAATATTATTAAATTTCCTTAGAAGTTTTCTGTAATGATAAAGCGTATACATTTATTAGACCAAAAAATAAGTCTTCTGCATAATATCACTCTTTTTTTCATTGTCTGTTGCATATACTCTACTACTAAAGCATCTTTTACCACAGTGTAGCAGTACTATGTACACCACAGTGTAGCAGCGGTCTGCTAACATCACTGAACTCCATTTTCTATGATCGCTATTTTTCATCATTTCACTGAATTCATTGCTAACTTAAGATAAATGTTCATTTTTCAGAAGTTCACTTTATTGTAGACCAGTATATTACCTTCTTTATTTTGACCTTACTCATCCTCTGAAAATTTTAGTAAAGGTACCTGAAAGTCTGACCATCTTGGTTTATTGCTTTTCTAAAAGCCCTAACTTTATATGTAATGGTAATAACAAAACACTGCTTTTAATTTTTTTTCTTTTACAGGAAATATTTTCAATTAATATTTATCTAAATACTATTATTTACTTTCAATTATTTTTCTTACTAATTAAACTTTTGTTAATCTGCTGAAACACTGCAACATTTTTTTGAGTCTTTAATTTTTCTAATCACCTCAGATTTGTGAACAACAGAAGCTCCAACCTTCTCACCAACCTTTTCTCCAATCTTCTGAAGCGTGTATGTCTGAAGAATTGTGTATGTCTTCAGTATTGCAGACTTTTTTTTTTCTCATGTCTAGTCTCTTGACTCTGATGATTAAAAATAAACTTTTTTTTTTTTTTTGCTTGTAATAAAAAGATTGGTGGTTGTGTAGCCAGGAGTGAGTGGGTAACAGTAAAGGAGTGTAGAGAAGAGCTGTTTTTATTATTATACTTTACTGTGCAAAATACAAAACAAAACAAAAAAAAGTAACTTTTAATGTTTATTTGTTTAAACATTTATGTTTTTTTTTTGCTTTTTATTTTCCTCACAACAATAACTAATAATACTTATATTAAAAAAAAAAACTCTTACCTAAAGGAGTATTCAAACAAATAAAATGAAGATCTGTCCAGTATTTTTCTACATCAGCAAAGCAATTAAACTTGTAAACAGTCTCTGGAAATGACTCTATGCCTTCTGGAAGTATAGTGTGACAGTAATTCTTTTCTGAGCAGCGTGTATCCAGAATTTTTGCTTCTCTTCTCAAAAACAACATCAACTAAAATTTTGTAAAAATTATTTATGTACAAATCAATAACATTTTAAAAATTGAAAAAAATTTATTT